ATATTTTAGCAAATAAATAACTTATTGTTTTATCTTTAATTACTTTTCACTATCTGTTGTATAAAATGTATGATATGAAGAATGTATGATATGAAGAAAGATGAATTTAGATATTTTTCCTTATGTTTTGAAGCCAGGGCATTTCCCTCTAATTTTCTATTTAGTTAAATGAAACATTAACTAATGATTCACATGTGAGAAAATAAAGCTTAATTCAATGTAACTGCTACTCTTTAAATATATATGGCCACTTATTGCTATTGTCATTTTGGTCAGATGACATGATTTGATTCTCTTTCACTATGTTACATCTAAAAATAGTTGGCTGAGCTTAAGAAAAACTCATTATAATTCAACACTTCTCTCGAGTTAGAACAATCCCAGTCTTGTTCAAGCAAATTCAGAAACACTTCTGTGTGAATTTGAGGCTTTTGTCTGTGTTTAGACTCAAAAATTAAATACTTGTTGTAATCAATTAACTGTATTTCTTCTGATTATCCTCACAAACGATTGTACTGAAATCAGCCCTCAGTGATATGATTTTATAATTTATCAATAAAATCATCCAAGCCAAACAAACTATCCCGGAGTTCTTTTTTATTATTATTATTAAGGTAATGTAGATTGGTGGGGTTATAAGCAACAGTAGTAGAAAATAGTTCAATCAAGGATCTTAGTCATTATACGTATCATTCATATCATTTTCACGAGTAAAATTTAGTTCTTAGAAATTCCAACTACAAGTACTAAAGAAAGAAACCTTGGTGGCATGGTGGTTAACACACTTGGCTATTAACTATAAGGGGGTCTGATAGAACCCACCTAGTCCTTCAGTGGGAGAAAGATATGAAAACCTTATCCCATAAAGATCTACAGCCTTCGGTCAGTTCTACACTCTCATCCAGGGTGGCTATGCATTTGAATCACATTACAGCAATGGGTCTGTGGAGAACTACAAAACTTTTCAATCAATAAACCAATAAAATCCATCCCTTTATGTCACTTTTTAATTAACCAAAATTATAAAAGCCTTATCAGTAAAACCATGCTTTTAGTAACTATATTTTAATGCTTTAATAAAATGACTGATAGAGTCTCTGAGTGTCTCTCTCTCACATCTAATAAATTAGTCACAAACATATGTAGAAATTTTAAGATAGAAGATCAGCAGCTGAAGATTCAATCTCTTTCTAGCATCATCTCTGAACTTTCCTTACTGGAATTCTGGATGCCTCACATTTTAGCTTAATTCCAACCCAACATTTTGAATCAATTCTGAGTATAAGCAACACAAGGTCTATCCCAACTTTATAAGATTTTGGTGCTATTAACTTTTCAACTCTAGAATGTTAGACATTGCTTCTTACCCTTAAATGTCAGTCCTTATTTTCCTGAATGGTCTCCTATAGGTCTATCCATTTGCCGCTTCAATTTAGTAGACGAGCACGCCTTAAGCACGATTTGAACTCCATTTCTCGGTATCGCTCACCCAGCCCAGGCAACTACAACCTGCTGCAACACTCAGAACACTGCCCCAAGTACTGAACTGGCTCCTTTTCTTGACTGACTGCATTTCAAATCTGATTCTGCTTGGGAACGAGGGAAGTACTCGAATTGCTTAACTACGTCTACAGCTACTTTTGACACCTCTCTGGACCACGAGTTCCTGGCTTACCTTAAGTTTTAACTTAACAAACTCATTGTGACCGTTGCTTCTTCGAGGAGAGTGACACTCCATCCGCGGGGGTACATTTGGAATGGAGGCTGAAACAACACTGAGTATGTGCTAGTTTTCTCAATTCTTATTCTTAATATAAGGGATCAAATTCACTTTAGTGTGATTATAACATCTACAGTATTTTATATTTTGTGCTTTCTATATATAGAAACTTTACAAAATAGAAAATAAGATATGGGAATTATTGTTAGTACGATAAACTACTTGTTTGTGACAGATTTTTTTAAAATGACTGAATGCTGAAGAGATAACTGTCTAAATGGTGTTTATTTTCTTCAGTGATAATCTCTTCAGCTTATATCATAAAGATGGCTAATCCTTCCATAAATCAAATAAAACTTTAAAAAGCTCACTGCCCTCGAGTGCATGCCAACTTAAAGTGACCTTATAGGAAAATTGTCCCTGTGGGTTTCTGAGACTGTAATTCTTTACAGGAGTAGAAAGCCCCATCTTTCTCCTGAGGAATGGCTGATAGTTTCAAACTGCTGACCTCTGGGTTAACAGCCCACCAGATAACCAGGATGCCTCCAGGGCTCCTCACAAGTCAAATACACTATTGATATTGGTTTGGTGCTGAGACATTGGTCTCAGGGATTTCCAAACCATGCCTAAGTTATTTCTCAATGACCCAAAGATTATGTAAAATTCATTTTTTAAAAAGAAAAGAGATGGGAGTAATATGATACCTAGCTCATGGAGTGGAAAGGAAGATTAAATGAGTTAATAAAGCACTGTAACAGTTTATGGAAGATAAGTGTTAGCAATGATCATTTTTCATCCCACTCATTGTATTAGGAGCACTTGATAAATTGCAGAATGGCTATAACAGATCCTAGTATCAAATGGATCTCACTAGACAAATAGCCTAAATTCTCCTTAGAGATTAGATAAATGGAAAGTATTTGTTAAATAGGACACTAAGTAGTGATTATTCGTATCACTCTTTTAATCAGTCTTATCAAAAGCAAGCAGGACAGTGTAATTTCAATTCATTTTGTAACTTTCAAGAGAGATACCCTCACCCATACTTTAATCAAATGTCAAATGGAGCTGCCCTAATGATGGAGGGCACGGTCTCATCCACATGAGCACCGCGATCTGAGATCACTTGATGAAGACTTTCAGGTATACTTGTAGTTTCTGTCTTTCTTTCTTTTTGCTTTCATTAGCTATTTTTTCCTGATTATGTCTTTTTTCCCAACAGTTTTATTGGCACATCATTTACACATCATATAATTGAATAGTTCAATCGCTCAATCATATCAAGGGGAATGATAAAACCACCACCACATCTCCCTGCCCACATGGTCAAATTGCCTTTAAAATGAGCTGTGAAATCATGATCAGTTCTAGTTTCTATTAAAGAAAGTAAAATGGCCCACGCATGCCCTTTGCCTAGGCAAACATTTGATCCAGCACAAAAGCAATCATAAATACTGAAGATCATTAAATCTCAGGGCCCATGCCCATCGTTTCTAAAAGCACCAAAAAATATAGTTTGCTAGAATTTTACCTTTTATTTTCTTTAGGAGAACGTGATAGGAATGTCATGTGTAATTTACGCTTTCGTGACTCAGTGTTTTTTGCTAACTATGGAAGCTGAGAAGCTCAATGTTCACAAAAAGAAAACAGCTGCTAACAATGACAAACATTGTTAGTTG